TCGATTCAATCTAAGTCCACAACAATCCAGCAAAACCCCAACGAATACTTTTGTCCGAAGGGAACAGCTAAATACACAGCAGGATCTGCTGTTCCAAGCAAACCCTACTATGGATACAGCTGCATCCTTCTATGAGGAACCCGAACCCATCTTAATTTCGCTCGGCCAAACAGAAATATATGGCCGCCTTCGCCCTTGAACCACTGATCGAAAGCCTGGTCAACCGTTGTCCCTGCCAAATGATATTACCACTAGCACCGCCTTAAATGTGTGCTAATACTAGAGTTAATGTTCATTCATGAACCTTCATGCAGTTATAATATATTATAGTGGTTTAGGGTAGTCTAAGAAGAGTTTGCCATGTAAAATGTCGTTTTTAGGGTTATGAAAACCTCTTCTATTACTTTCAAAATATATTTATTGCACATTTTTTCTTTCTTATAGTACCTAATCATTCTTTACATAATCATTAGTGCTGATTTAGATATTAAAGTGTTTACTTTAAAAAAATCTTTGTGTCTTGTAAGTCAATTGCTTTTTTGATATTACACCATGTTTAATTGTTGTAAACTTGTAATGTGTTCGCTTATACTTTTTGTAGAATACTCGGAAAAAATAATCTTAAATTTTGTAAGTTGAGGGGCTACGCATGGGGTTATGCCCTTATAAAAATGCAAACTGCGGAAAGGACAAGTAAATTAAAGAATGTCCATATCAGAATTGTGGGCTTGAATTAAAGTCTGGAAGGGTCACATCACATGAAGCCCATAACTGAGTTAGGACTTTCGAACTTGCAACGTGCCAACAGGCCCAAATGTCTTTAGAGGCTACTCAGACCCACTAGACAAATGTTACGAAAATAAATTACTGAATTTTAAAATATTAATCATTAATGCCCTGATTTAGTTTATTAGGAACCTGAAAAACCTTTTCAAGGAAGTTGTCCATTAAAGAGCCGAGGTTGGTTCATGAAATAACGATTTTGGGGAGAAAAAAAAAATGTTATTTTTGAAGTTATAACGCTTGCAAAAGAAATATAAGTAGTTATTTTGATATAATTAATTACAAAGAAAAAATATATTCAATTATATATATTGAATTTTTTTTTGTAAATACATCCTACCCCTCTATCTTCGTCGTCTACATAAAATTAATATTCCATTTGCCGTTTTCCTTCTCTTGCTCCTCGTTAAAGCAACAATAAAATATACTGTATGGCCTCTCAGGGAAGTGCTGCCTCTCCTAAAGGTGGAAACAGCACCGGCACGGTGCCAGCAGTCAATCCTAGCTTCGGCCAGTGCGTGTGCTCCCCCTCAACGCATCCGGGTTCATTCCGCTGCAGATTTCACCGGTCCAAGTCATCGGCGTGGCTGAAGCGATCCAAGTCCGTCCCGGCCACCACCGAGTCCTTGGCTTCTCTTTCTCCCAAGTCAGTCGAGTCTGCTTAATCCAGATATCATTTTATATATATGTACTGAAATGTGAAAACTGAAAACTGCTGCAGTTGTATGATGAATATTTATATTTTTCTTTTCTGAATTTTTCGAAATTATTTTAGATTGTAAAAAATCACGACATTTTGATAGTTATTTTATTTATTAAAAATATTTAAATAATTTCATGACAAATCTTAATATTTAAAATAGGACTACGTTTGATATTTACTTTTTTTTTTCATTGCTTTAAGTTCTTTTGTATTTTGAAATCAAGCTATGCTTTTAATAGAGATATATTCTCGATATCACTAAAATTTAAATTAAAGCTACGAATCTTGATTTTCTTTTTTCTTTTGGCCTTTGATATATTTCTTTTGAAATAAAGACACAACCTTTACATTCATTAAAAATG